GCAGCACTGGAGACATGGGGGAGAGAGCAGATCAGATCCAGCAGGGCTGCTCCAGGCTGCAGTCAGGGGCTGGGCGCTGAAAGATCAGAGAGGAGCCGGTGGGGGGGCCCGGCTCCGTGCCCCACCTGCCACCCTGGACCATCCCTCAACAAACTTCTCACGTAAGCCCAGCGCCTCCTCTCGTGGGAGCACAGATAGTCTCGGCAGCCCTGGTGAGTTACTGCATAGCAGCAGTTACGGTTGGCACCTAAACGGTTTCTTTGGCGAACTGAGATTGGATTGTCAATACCAGCCTCTCTCTAAGGAAGTGAATGTACAAATATGATGCTTCTGGGACTTCCCTGGTTGTGCAGTGGTTGAGAGTCCGCCTGCCAATGCAGGGAACACAGGTTCGAGCCCTGCTCCGGAAGATCCCACATGCCGCGGAGCAAATAAGCCCGTGTGCCACAACTACTGAGCCTGCGCTCTAGAGCCCGCGAGCCACGACTACTGAGCCTGCGTGCCACGACTACTGAAGCTCGTGTGCCTAGAGCCCGTGCTCCGCAACAAGAGAAGCCACTGCAGTGAGAAGCCGGCGCACCACAGCGAAGACCCAATGCAGCCAAAAATAAATAAATTAATTAATTTTTTAAAAAAAGTGATGTTTCTGGCCCCTGAGCTCAAGCTGCTCTGGGTGCCCAGGTGGGGTCTTCATCTGACAGACTGTCCGACAGCTGAGAGTCCCCTCACTCCAATCACTGACATGTGTCCTTGATGGATCAATAAGTCACCCGAGGTTGTCCCCTCTCCTGTTGCAGAATTAATAGGCGGGATTTTTGTTGGTGTTGTAATGGCCGTGTGGCCCGGCTCGCGTTACACAGAGCTGATGGCAGCGCACAGGACAGACAGCGTGCTCCTCCACAGGGCTGGGCGCCGGGAGTCACAGGTGGGTGTCCTGGGCTGGGCCAAAGGATGTGATGGCAGCTGCCAGGGGTCCCCTTCCTTCCCCTGGAGGCTGGGGTCTGGAGGCTGAGGACATCTGAGCTGCAAGGGCCCAGCCCAGGTCCCATTTACAGATGGAAACCCAAGGGCGAAAGGTTTGCCCTGAGCCACATAGCAGGTAACTGAACACCACAGTTTTGTTAAAATTTTTTTTCAGAATTCTTAAAATTCCTAAGCTTAGCACATAAAGTCCTTCATGAAAGAACCCAGATTCCCAATCCACTGGGGATCACTAACTACACACACACACACAGGCACACCCCTGCCTTCATTCTAAGGATGAAGGTCATTTCCCGAAGGCGATGCTGTCTCACACCACAGGGCCTTTGCACAAGCCGTTCCCTTTGCCCAGAGCGCTCCCTGCCTTTGCTCAGCCAATCTCTTCCCCTTTTCAAAACCCAGCTGGGAATCCTCTCCCCCAGGAACAATTTCCTCACCTCCGAGCTGGGCTGGGGGCTTCCCTCTGCCCCTGCACTTGTCACACTCTGTGGTGACACGCCTACCTCCCCCACGAAACGTGATGCCTTAGGGGTGGAGCCACACCTCCTTGATCTCCAGCCTCACACGTCCTCGTGCCTGGAGCAGAGTAGGTGCTTGATAAAAACTAACTGAATGCATGAATGTCTCCATTTTCTGCCAATAAGGTAATACTATAACTCAGAGACTTTGGCCCTTGCCACCAGGCTGGTTTCACTGGAATCATCCCCTTTCTCTGACTGGGGGCCTGGTCCAGAGCCTGGTGCTGGGTACCCCTCGAGGCCCGAGCAGAGACGCTTGGGCTGTGGTCAGCTACAGGATCCCCACCCTCAGAGGCCGTTCTGAGCCCCCAGCCCCATATGGAGTTGTCCACACGTCAGTGGTCACTGTACCAGTGTCCTGGGGTGGCCGCAACAAAGGACCACAGACTGGGGGCCTTCAAACAACAGACATTTCTTCTCTCCAGTTCTGGAGGCCAGGAGCAAAATCAAGGTGTCGGCAAGGCTGGCTCCTTCCGAGGCCGTGAGGGAGAATCTAGTCCAGGCCCCTCTCCCAGCTTCTGGGGGTTTGCTGGCGATCTTTGGCATTCCTTGTTTTGTAGAAGCATCACCTTTGTCTCTGCTTCTGTCATGACACGGGGTTCTGTCTGTGTCTTCACACAGCGTCTTCCTCCGTGGGTCCCCTCTTCTTACAAGGACACTAGTCATGATGGATTGAAGGCACACCAGGTTCCAGTGGGGCCTCATCTTAACACACATCTTTATGACACCTGCGAAGACTCTATGTCCAAATAAGGTCACATTCAAAGGCACCAGGGTTGGGACATGGACACATCCCTTTGGGAGATGCAATTCACCCACAACCATCCCTGAAGCCATGGACCCATCTGAGGTTGTCCAAAGCCAGGGCATCAGGGGAGGAAGACAGGGCTCTGGCAAACCCCGGGGGGAACCTGAGGGAGAGCTGGGCAGGGAAGGAGGAGCTTCATTCATCTGATGAGGTTGAATGAGGAGAAGCGGGCGCTTCAAGGAGGAAGACAGCCCAGCCCTGGGAACGCTGTTCTACGTCTCCTGAGACAAGGCCTGAGCGGCGTCCGTGGGATTTGGCTACAAGGAGGCCATGACCTCAGCAGGAACCAAGGGCAGACTGCGGGGTAAGGAGGGCACAGGTAAGAGAAGTGAGAAAGTAAGGGAAGTGGTACCCACACCACCCAGGGGACTGGCTGGGAAAGGGAAGATCCAGTCGGCGGGCAGCGGGGGAGGGGAACTGGGTCGAGGAGGAGACCTGGGGCTTTAAATGCCACTGGAGAGGTCCCGGAGGATGGGGGGCTGAGCATCAGAGGACAAGCAGGTGCCCAGAGGGAAGGGGAGGATGCCCTGACCCGGAGGACGTGCGGGGCCAGGCAGGGTACAGCCAGGAGCCCGGCCCAGCCTGTGGCTCCTCCTTTCTCCATCAACAGCAGGGAGGGTGACCCCAGGCTCTGGGGAGAAGGGAGCGCCCGAGTCCCTGTGCCAGGGCAGCTCCTTCCTCAGTGGAGCTTGTGATCCACAATATTTAAAGGTTCCGGCACACACAGTTCCCTGAACCGGTCTCAGTCTTGATGCCTTTTTGTCCTCATCTTCACACCTGCCAGCAGGTCTCCTCGCCTTCCCACGTCTCCCCTCTCCCCACCCCCACTCTGCTGCACCAAGCCATGGTCCTCTTGGCCCGGACCACAGCAGTCCTCAGGATGGTCCACTGTCCAAACAGCAGCCAGAAGGAGCCGTAAAAAGTATAAATCATGATCAAAAACAGTGTAAAGAACATTGAACTTCAACCCACAATCTGGGAGAAAGTATTTGCAACATGCGTGATGGATGAAGAATTTATGTACAAATATATAAAGAGTCCCTACAAATCAATAGGAAAAGAATTTTTAAATAGGAAAAGATACAAACAGTGTTTCACAAAAGAGGAAAAAGGAACGGCCCCGGATCTGATGGAGAAACGATCCATGTCAACCATGAGGGAAGTACAAATGGATGACACGGAAAGGCCATCTCACGCCCAGCGGACAGGTGACATTCAGTCTCACACTTGGGAATAACGCTGAGGATGTGGAGAGAGGGAAGGTCGGTACGAGCCCCTTGGAAAGCAGGTTCTCTCGGGTCTACTGAGGACTGGAGTCAATGGGCAGACCTTCTGCGAACGCGGGGTCCTGGGTGTGTTCCGAGGGCAACTCCTGCATGTGTCCGGGGCTGTCTCTGATCCTCAAATCGCAGATGAGGGAGCTGAAGGGCGGGAAGGAGATCTGACTTGCGAGCCAGTCTCTGGCCTGGCGCCACCTCCTGCCCAGGATGCTCCAGCCTCGCGGGGCTCCGGCTCGGCAGTCTTGAGAAACTGGCAAGGAGGGAACAGGAAAACTAGAACAGGCGGAGAAAGTCAGGGGGGGCTCAGACAGGACCCCGCCTGCTTGCGACAAGGGGACGCGTGAGTCCTTCCCCGTGTGCAGCTCAGACGTTCCTGCCGGGAAGCCGTGATCCGTGATCGAGTCCAGACAAGGGCAGCACCAGCTCAAGACTTCTTGTCTGGAACCAGGCGCCGGAGACTCATCACCCCTGGGGGCCCCGAGAACACAGTTGCCCCGCTTTTGTGAGAACAGATGTTCTCTTGAAATTAACAAGCCTGTGAAATGGCATCCCCTGGAGTTAAAGCTAGGTCATAGAAGTGAACGATTGTCCCCCCCTCCAAGGAGCCAAGAGGAAATTAGCAGAAGGATGGAGGTAACCAGGGGCTGGGGGAGGGGCAGGGGGCCGTGCACCGCGGGTAGAGCTTATGTTGGGGGTTGGGTTAGTCAGGGCTCTCCAGAGAAACAGAGCAATAGGACACAGAGAGAAAGGAGATAAATATATAAAGAAACGGCTACAGGTACAGATAAGGATATAGATACAGATATACGTGTACAGATATAGGTACAAAGAGATTTATTAGAAGGAATTGCTCACAGGATTACGCAGGAGGCTGGGAAATCCAAAGTCTGCAGAGCTGATGTCTCAGTTGGAGCCCAAAGTCCAGAAGCTGCTGTAGAACCAGGAAGACCCGATGGTCCAGTTGGAGGGCCGTCCGGCAGGAGAACTCCCTCGGACTTGGGGCGGGTCAGCCTTTCTGTTCTATACAGGCGTTCAAGGGGTTGGGCGATGCCCACCTGCGTGGGGGCTGGGCAGTGTGCTTTATTCAGTCCACTGATTCACATGCTAACCTCATCCAAAAGCACCCTCACACACACACACCCAGAATCCTGTTGGACCAAACACCTGGGCACCTGTAGCCCAGGCAAGCTGACAGATAAAATTCACCTTCACAGCGGTGGTGAAAAAGTTCTGGGTAAAAATAGTGGTGTTGGGTACACACTGAAGGTATGTAATGCCACTGAATCATACACTTGCGGATTATTAAATCCTACACGCGCTGTTAAGTACATTTTCCCACAATTTTAAAAGAATGCACGGTGCGGATGTTTGCAATTGCTCCATTTCGTAGGTTAGAAAAAATATATATAACTCTTGCTTCGGCAGCACATATACAACGATTGGGACAGTACAGAGAAGCTTAGCATGGCCCCCTGTGCAAGGATGACCTGCAAATCGGTGAAGTCTTCCATGTTTTTTTATAAAAAGCTATAGGTAGCAAAACCGTTCCCACAAGGTTCCAAACTGGAGTTGGCAAACTGTCCTCAAAGGACCAGGCTTTTGCCATCCAGCGTCCGCTGCCCTTGGATCAGGACGGCAGCCAGAGACTACAGGTGAGTGAGTGAGTGTGGCCGGGTTCCAATAAAACTTTATTTATACTCACAGAAATTTGAATTTCACGTAAGATTTTCACATGTCACAAAACACTTTTTTTTTTCTTTCAGTCTTCGAAAAACATAAAAACCGTTCTTAGGTTGCCAGGTGTACAAAAATAGATAGTGGGCTGGTTGTGGCTGGTCAACGGTAGTTTGCTGACCCTGGAGCTAAGCAAAGAGGAGCCGGGGCTAGGCTCCACGGAGGGCGCCAACCCCAAGCCCAGCCGAGGGGGCTCAGCCATGCCTGGGTTCCCCGGGGGTGCTAGGTGGGGGAGGGCATAAGGAGAAATAAGGGGGCAGAACCCTGGGGACCCAGAAGTGCCAACAGCCAGTGGGAAGCAGACCTGTGCTTGGGGGGCCGGGGATCTGACCTCCACCACCATCTCACCCTGGACCGCACGTCCTCCTGATGCCCCAGCCTCTCCCACTGGGCCCCGTCTCACCCTCCTGCCCTCTCAACATCAAGGAAGGCGATGCCCGCTGCTCTGGAAGGCCACATGGGCAACAGGCTGCAAGGGTGACCCCAGGACTGCTGGGGACTGAGACGTGTGCCAGGACGCAGGACCTCCAGCGCCAAAGCGCACACGGTCCCAGGGAAACCGGGATGGTCAGCCACTCTCCAGTCACCCCGACTGGCGCAAGCAGCAGGAGAAGGGACACAGGAGACAACTGCCCCACAGCCCCGGCCCCGGCATCAGGCCTGGCACAGGCAGGTGTGCAAGACCCGGGCGTGGTCTCTGCACCTACGGGAAGGGGATGTGCCGTGAGCGAGGGCAAGATACGCTACATACCACCGTAAGGACGCTGCTCCCAGACGCGGCGTAGAGCAAGGAACGGGGCGATGCCACGTTTCCAAAGCATAAGACGGGCAACTGCTCCACGGGGACCGCCTCTGAGGAAGCACAGGGACTTCTGGCTGCCGCTGCCTTGGTCCTGACCCGCTGCCGGCCCCTCAGGGGTGCTCAGTCTGGAGATGTCCCCACCGCACAGTCAAGGTTGCACACCCCTCCTTGGGCATCTTGCTGGGCGTTCACCGTGGCAGGGCACTGGACCTTCTACACTTGCCAGTTACCCATGTGACAGCCCTTACTGAGTGCCTCCGTGGGTCTGGGACAGAAAACTCCTTACGGTGTTGTGCTCTCTAACACTCGCAGAGCCCCCAAGGGGTAGGTGTTTTTAATCCCATTTTACAGATGAGAAAACTAAGGCCAAAGAGGTGAAGTCAGTGTCCTAAAGTGACACTGGGCCCCAAGATGAACCCCTGGCCCGTCCTCCTGACTTACAAGGGGCGCACCCTCCCTCCCTGCAGCCTTTTCCTGAGTTTAAGGAAAGGGGGTGCTGATGTCTGGGGTTCCTCCCCAGGAACCCCCAACTCACAGCCCAGACCCTAGACCCAAGGGCAGCCCTCTCCCCTGCTGGAGGCGCTGCCGGCATTCTGTGTACAAATGCCCTGACAAGATGGGTCATCAGTGTGAAATCATTGCCATCAGCAGGGCGCGGCCGCCAGCCTCTCATTATTGCCAAATGAATGACTCCGTTTAGAGAAGTCGTTTGGGGCGCTGTCCCAGACAATGACTCCTGTCAAAAGATTTACCGAAACTCATGGGCAATGCAGCGGGAGGCCCCGTGGGCCTGGCCTCAGCATTTATCCTGCAGAAAACAAAGATTGCAGCGTGGACCATTTTGCCGCTGAAATTCATGCCTTTTGACCCCAAATGGAGAGATAATCCCAGGGCTTGTTTCCGCTTGAGCCTGGAGATGTTGTAAATAGCTGGCTCTGAAGCGGAACCTCACACTGGCCTCGGGTGTAAGGCAGACCATGAAGCAGACTGTGAAAGGATGTGGCTCGCTGAGGCTCTCCGTCACGCCGCCCCCGTAGGTAGCATCCCCCAGGGGCTTTCTATTCTAAAATTGGGTGTTGGGAAGAGCTCTGGCTCAAGGAGCGTGTTATATGCTTTCTCCATCCCCCAGTGAAGACTATAAACTTGATCGCGATTTATTTTCCTCTTGGCTGCCAGGAAGCTCAGAAGCCAAGAAAAAACCTAAGTACATTAGCAACGCTGGTCCTTTGTAATATAATACCTGCATTCTCTTTTACATTAGTATTGTGGCTTCTGTCTGGATTTTATTATGTTTGTTTAATGTGCCTCGCATTGTAAGCCACTTCAAATCCTTTGTTGAAAGGGTGGGGGTATGAGTAAAATAAAATAACCAAGCAGAGTAGGGAGGGGAGAACAGGAGGCCGGGGACTGTGACCTGCCTCTGGCTGTGACAGCTGTCCAGCTATTTGACCCGTGGACTGAGTGAAACATATTTTCCCTGCCTGGGTATGACTCTGGTTCTAGACCAGCCTGGGTCACCCTTAACTGCCTGGGTATGACTCTGGTTCTAGACCAACTGGGTCACCTGTCCATGAGCATTCTGGATCCTCCACCAGGACTGTATCAGTCAGGTTTGCCTGGTAACAAGCACCCCCTGGTTTCACAGCAACACACATTGATTTTTTTCACTCAGAGCCCGTGTCAGGAGCTCAGCTGTGCCCCATGACTTCCCATCCCAGGACCCAGGCTGAAGGGGAGGCAATTTGGAACCTGCTTTCCTCACGGAAGAGCGAAAAGAGTGAGAGGGCTGGAGAAATCCTGGAATGGCCCCTACAGTTCCTGCTCCAGCATATCTGGCCCCCCCACCGCCGCCGTGCCAACATCAGTGGGCGGGAGGTAGACGCCACCCCCAGGAAGCGCTGCGGCCATGGGTTAGGGCACCAGAGGCTTGGATGGACAGCTTCCAGGAAGGTGGAATGGAGAGCCAAAAGCACTAATACAATTTGCCACAAAGACCCCAGAAGGGAAGACCCATACGGGCAGGGTTCCGGCTGGTCGGCTCGCCCACCCATGGGAAGACCAGGCACTTCGTGGGAGCTCCATATATACTGCTCGAACATGCAAACAATGAACGGAGAGCTAATGGGCGGAATGAGTGACCAGCAGGCCCTGGACGCAGGCATGTGTCAGCCTCCACTGCTTCAGTGCCTTCTGCCCGTGAACCAGCCAGCATCTCTCTCTTAATAAGATGGGAAGGCAGGATGACAGTGACAACCTCGTGACACAGTGCATGGCAGCCCCTAGTACCTGCCTGGCCCGTGGCACAGGCTCAGGAAGGCAGCTTCCTTTGGCTTCAACTCCTTTCAGGAGGAGGTCTCATTTCAGCTGGAAAGACCAGGTGACAGACACAGAGTAAGTGTACATATTACAATTATTATACAAGTTAGGATGACGATGGTAACAGCCGAGAGTCAGAGAGCAGTCACAGAACCCCAGGAGCTATCCCACGTACCTTACGTGGAGTAACCCATGTGATGCTCACACCCTCACAAGGTAGGAATTATTATCATCCCCATTTTACAGATGAGGAAATTGAGGCAGGGCCGCTTTAAACATGTCTGCACATTCTGGGACCTCCTTGCATCAAGATGCAGGGTCATAGTATATCACACATACACACACACACACCTTGAATCCAGCTGTGCTTGGGACTCCTTCTAACCAATGCCGTGGAAGTGAGGTTAGGAGAGGAAAGGTGATGTGGCTCCAGCCCCATGCTCATCAGGACACTCACACTGAGGGCCCTGAGCTGCATCCTGAGTCAACCATGTTGTGAGGAAGCCCAACCATGTGGACACGACAAGCCTGGACACTCGGGTCAACAGTCCTAGTTTTTGCAGCCCAGGCACCTACCATGGGAGCAATGAGGCTTCGGACAAATCCCGACCCCCAGCCACCGAGTCGTGAGGAGCCTCAAGGCTCCCCAGCAGGGACCCCAGACTTTCGGAGCAGAGACAGGCCACCCACACTGGCTCTTTCCAAAAAAGATTATTGTCTCATGCCCCTAAGTTTGGGGTGGTTTGTTATACGGCAACGGGACGAAGATTGGCTGCCTTGACACATCCAAAGCACCAGGTCTTGACTAGGCCAGTCGACAGGAGCTAAAGAGGCCTTGAGGAGACTGCCAGTGAGAGCCTCAGAAGGACTAAGATGTGATGGGGGGCTGGAGAAAAGGGGACCCTTGTTATGTGGCGGCCCAAAGGAGAGCAACTGTCTCCAGAAGTAAAATAGAAAATGTACCTAGTGAACTCAGTGATGTAGCAGATGTCATCTGTAAAGGACCAGACGGTAAATATCTGAGATGCTGAGAAGCAGATGGTCTCTGTTGCAACTCCGCAAGTCTGTGGTTATAGCTCAAAACCAACCACTGACAATGCATGAATCACTGGGCTTGGTTGCATTCCAGGAAAACTTTGTTTACAAAAACAAGCAGCAGCTGGATTTGGTCCATGGGCTATGGTTGGCTGACCCTTGATCTAGCTAAGATTTCCAGGGAAAATATCGAAAGTGCCACCTCTCTTCTCCTTCCTGCCTAGGATAAAATGCAAGAAGAAAGAGGTGAACCAAAGAGTGAACTGTGTAATTTTTTTTTGGTGGGGGGGGCCGGGGGGGCCACACTGTGAGGTTTATGGGATGTTAGTTCCCTGGCCAGGGATTGAACCCGGGCCCTCTGCAGTGAGACCACAGACTCCTAACCACTGGGCCGCCAGGGAATTCCCTGAACTGTGTAATTTTTAAGAAAACGTTAGAGAAAATTGAAAGGAACCAGGACTTACTGGGTTTGAAAACCGAAGTGTTTCTCATCGCCAGCCTGCTCAGATTCTAAAATGTCTTCGATTTTTAAAATTGAAAATTGTCTCAAAATTAACAATAGCTTCTGGGAGAAGATCAAATTTACAGTAGAGCTACAAGATTCTTTATAAGCACTCAGAAAGATCTAAG